CTATAGGATAAATGACCTGGTCCCTTAAGAAATAAATGGCATGAGAATAGAGGTGGGTGAGGGAAATGCAAAACAAAATGAACAAACAAAAAAACCTAAAAGCATAACAATTAAATAAAATAAGTCAGATTATGTTGACTAGAAATCACCAGCTGTTAAAAAGGTTCTTATAGAAGTATATACCAATGAAAAAAGAACGTAAGGTCTGGGATTTGCTTTAAAATATTCCTCACATAGAAGGAAAAAGTATAGTGATGAGATAAAAAATTGCAATATCTTGGGTTGAGGTCTTGGGTTGAGGCTATAGCTCCGTTAGTAGAGTGATTGCCTTGTATGCACAAGGTCCTGGGTTCAATATGCAGCAACACACACACACACACACACACACACACACACACAGGTAAGATCTTGATAAATGTTGACCATGAGTTCATTAGATTTTTTTTTCATGATTAAAATTTTTCAAAATAAAAAAGTTAAATAAAAAGTCAAGGGCTTGGGGTGGGGGGCATGGGGTTTATTGGTAGAGCTGATGTTTAGCATGCATGAGGCCCTGGATTCAATCCCAGCATCAAAAACAAACAAAACCCACTCAAAAGTCTATATACAACATATTTTTTAAAAAGTTTTTTTTTCATTGTTGATAGATCTTTATTTTATTTATTTGTTTATATGTGGTTCTGAGGATTGAACCCAGTGCCTCACACATGCCAGGTAAGTGCACTACGGCTGAGCCTCAGCCCCAGCCCCAGCCCCTATACAACATATTTAAAACATCTAATTGCTATATAAAACAAGGGAAACAACAAAAAGCAATAGGAGTTATTTTAAAATGTCCCTAACAAATTTTTCAATCTTTTTTTGTAGAATATTGTCATGTATCTTAGGTTGGCTCATTCATAGAAAGAAAATTAAAAGTTACCATCATTTAAAAACATGTTATTGTAAAAAATGTTTTTTTGTTGTTGTTCTTGTTGTTGTTAAATTTTACCAAAACATTCTCCAGAGGCTGAGAGTATGGCTCAGTGGCAGAGCATGTACCTAACATGCATGAAACCCTGAGTTCCAACCCTAGCACCAGAATAAAACAAAACAAAACAAAACAACAACAACAACAACAACAACAAAACATTCTCCAAAGAGAACACTGTCTTTAACATAGAATTCCCAGGCCATATATCCATGTCTGGTATCATTCTTTTGAACATTCTCCCCTACTGCTACAATGGGAGACAAACCATATTTCCAAGCTTGTTGAAAAGTTTTGTTAGTTTCCCACTCAGTCACATTTTCTAGTCATTTTGTTAACATGTTTATAGACCTGGTTATTCATTCTTAGCCAATATCCAGGAGAGACTTGGCTCAAGACAATCTTTTTTTTTTTTCCTTTTCAATTTTGACATCTCTATGAATTAGGTATTATACAATATCATCACAGCCTACTTTTCTTCTGCCTCATATTACCCAGGAGACAATTCCGGAATGAACTTGGACTAGAATTTGATATAGCATCCTGAGTTTCTTAAAGATTTTGCTGTCTATTTTTCTATAGTCTTTGAAGGTTCTTTCCTTTTTCTTTTGCATACAAGATATTATTTGAATGAATGGAGTGTCCTACAAGTATTGCCGTAATTTTCTTAGCCACAGGCAATTACTACAATGAGAAGGAGCTATCTGATCTCATTTGGTATGTTAAACCTTGGTGCTGCTGTAGCATTCCTTCTTTTGTGTTTGGTATGTCACTTAGTTTGTACCTTTGGTTTTGAACACATCAGTCTACTCAAAGATCTTCCTCTGGGCTGTAATATTTGTTTGCTCTCTGTTTATAAATGTAAGCACAGTGTCATCACTGAATTACTCTGAAATGACTTAAACTACGTAAAAATGATTTCAAACATGTAAATAACTTGGGAACCAGAGACAGTAATATTGAACCAATTGATAAGATAGTGGGAACCAATTTAGTGAAAGGAGACTTTATTTCTTGTTTCCCAATACACATTCACACTCACTAAGTGGGAACCACTTTCTGCCCTACTAAGGACTTGGCTAAAGTGATCAAGAATTCTTTATCTCAGTTTTCTCTTTCCACCGTGGAGCTAAAAATATTTGTCAAAACCTTTGCAGATGATGCAAACCCTATGTCTAAATTAGTGTTTATGAACCAGTTTGAATTTTTTTGTAGAAGGAGGCCAGGTATGTGGTCAGGAAGATATAAAACTATATATTTAGGTGAGTAATTACAAGAAGCTATTCAATTCTCAGAGGCAGAGTCAAAACTCTGCATATATAAGATAGTGGAATATTTCGTAAGAAGACACCTTAGTGTTTTCTATTCCTGACTTATTTAAAAGTCTGGAGTTCCTGGGCTGGGATTGTGGCTCAGTGGTGGCACGCTTGCCTAGCATGCATGAGGTACTAGGTTCGATTCTCAGCATCACATACAAATAAGTAAAATAAAGGTCCATCAACAACTAAAAAATATTTTTTTAAAAAAACACTGTTTAAAAAAAAAAGTCTGGAGTTCCTTATCATTCTTTGTTGACATAATATATGTAAATAAAATAAGACAAGTCCCTCTGGTCAAAATTAAAAAAAAAAAAGTAAAAACACACAGGTACTAAAGATTAGCAATGGGAAAGGGGAAAAAAACACCCTAAAATTTATTCTAAACTTATCAAAGATATAAAGAGACTTTCTGAAAGAATCTATGGGCAGGGAAAGAGAGATGAACAGGACTAAAAGAACAAATAGGAAATTTCAAAGGTGAGACAGAAGAGAGGAAATGACTCAGCTACAGATTAGGTCGGGAATTCCAGTTGGGTGAGGTAAATGATAATGTGGCCTGGGAAAGTTCTTTACCTACAGAGGACAAAATTCTAGAAACTCACTGCAGTGTTCTAATGATTGAAGTGCTCCAGCAGAGCAATTGGGGAGGATGAGACAGGAGGATCACAACTGAAAGAAGCAAGAATTTATTGAATACTCATATGTGCAGTTCTAGCTTTCATAGTTGTTTGGTACATTACTGACCAGTATACATATGATTTAAATAGTGTAATAAGTAAGCTAGTCCCTGATTTATGGTGTTAACCTTAAGATTTTTCACTTTACCAACACACAAAAGAGATATTGGAATTTTGATCTTTTCTCAGGCTAGTTATATTTGGTGACACTCTACTGTGTACTGGTTTGCTAACCTATGATGTTCAGTAGATTAGGTGTATCATCTCAACTTATGAGGGGTTTATGGGGAAGTAACCCTTTGTAAGGGGAGGAGCATCTTTATGTAGATGAATACTATTAATAAAGAACAAAATATGGTCTGTGAGCAATCTGGAAGACTTCTTGGAGAAAGCAATGCTGGAGTTGAGTTTTGAAGGAGGAATGGAAGAAATGGCATGTGTTAAATCACTGTGGAGTGAAACAGCATTATGCATTTGAGGAACCAAAGCCAGTAGTTTGGCTGCAGACAATTGGTTGGCATGATGAGTGATGGAAGATTAGGTGGCTGGGACAATTTACCATTTTGAAGGATCTTTATATGCCAGCTTAAATTTGGGCTTTAAATTTGGAGATTACTAAAATATTTTAAGCAGAAGATGACAAATCAAATCTGCCTTTGAGGAAGACCACTTAAGTGGCAGTGATTGTGAGAGGTGGAGGAAGAGTTGAGGTAGGAAGATTTAAAATAAGTCATGAATGGAGAAAGAACTGGATGTGGTAGTTAAATAAAATGTATGAGAATGTCTGCTAGGCTTTAGATATAGTACTACTTAATAAAATATATAACATAAGAGAAACAATTTCCTTTCTTTTTCCTTTCCTAAGATCCCAGTCTTTTCTTGAACCAAAGGTACCCGTGGGAAATTTAAGTGTGCATCTTCCTCTTCTTTTGATGCTATCATCATATATATCAACCATACCCTCTTGCAAAATGTTTCTTAGTACGTAAGTATTTGGGTATGGAGGCAGCATGTTGTGTATTTCTGAGCTTTTTATGTACTATAGTCCCTTGCCCTCAGCCAGTAAGACTGAATAAGCAGGTGATATGTGGTCACTAATAAATGAAGAATCAGTACTTTAATAATGTGGAGAAATAGTTCTTAATAGTACTGTGACCTAAGACCTCATTTCATATATAAATAATAGCAATTTGCTCTTCATTAAACTTTAATAACAGTAAAGCAGGCACGATAAAATAAGATTTACTAATTCATCTCTTTCAAATTACATCCTGAGTGGTTATGTATATATTACGTAGTGAATCGCTTCTGCTCCTCTTACCAAACTTCCAAAACACAGCCCATCCCAGATTAGGAAAGAAGAGTAGAGGCAAAGTGGAACAAGTTTCGACAGGCAGACGGGTGCACAGAAATGGGACCAAAGCCCAAACGAAGACGAGGAATCAATCACCACGGCTGGAAGGATCTGGGCTGTTTGCCCAAAAAGAACATCTAAGTCTCGGGAACTGACTGGTGCTAAGAAACCTAAGATAGAGCGAGTGACAGGCACAGAAAGAGGCCTGACCCTTTGGGACTGCCTGAAACACGCTAGGAATGCAACAGAAACATCCGGAATCCAGGATTGGCGGCTGCCAGAGACAAGCTGGGCTTAACCCCAGCTCCAAAGGCAAGCAAAAGGCCGACTCCGTTGGTTGGGAAACGACGCCCTAGGGCTACCCACACGAAGGACACAACCCCGGAGCCAGAGGCCAGCCCGCTGCCCAAAAGTCCAAGGGAGCCCCAGAACCCATATCCTACACGAACACCCGGAGCCGTCTGTGGGCGGGCCTAGGGGCGGGGCTCATACGCCTCGGCCCTCTAACTGCGATCAACTGCGTCCTCAGTGCGCCTGCGTAGGGTGAGGCCGGACTCTATTTGGCTATTAAGCGTGCGGCGGCAGCGGCGTTCTCTACCCGGCATGCTGTGCGGGAGCAGCGGCCCTACGTCTATCCCTTTCCCAACCCTGCCCCTTCTCCCCCCCCCTCCCGCCGCGGCCCCCCTTTCCCTAAAGTGAGTGAGTGAGACGGGCAGATGGAGGAGGGATTGTAATGGCGGCGGCCGGCAGCTCCCTGCTCTGACCCACGGCAGGCACATAGCAACGACCCCCTCCCCGCCCTTCTCCCGGCCGGCCTCCGCCCCGCCGTCGGCGCTGGGCCACCCTCCACGGCCCTTCCCCCAGCTGTCGGCGTCTAGCCCTGCGCCCCGGCCGGGGCCCCACACACAATGGACGAGCTTGCCGGAGGCGGTGGTGGCGGCCCGGGAATGACGGCCCCTCCCCGGCAGCAGCAGGGACCTGGGGGGAACCTGAGTCTTTCGCCGGGGGGCAACGGAGCGGCGGGCGGCGGGGGTCCTCCGGTCTCCGAGGGAGCCGGTCCCCCGGCAGGCCCCGAGCTGTCCCGGCCACAGCAGTACACTATTCCGGGGATACTGCACTACATCCAGCACGAGTGGGCTCGGTTCGAGATGGAGCGGGCGCACTGGGAGGTGGAGCGGGCCGAACTGCAGGTACCTTGCTGGGGTCAGTGTGCGGGACGGCTACCGTAGAGAGGTTCCCGGCCTGGGGCTGGGGGGGGCGGATGTGGGGCAGGGATTCCCTTCAGCCCGAGCCCTCTCCTTGGGAGGCCGAGAGGAACATACCTGTGCGGCTCGGGGGATGATGGTCCTGCGACGGGTCTTCCTAGGGTCCCCCTCCCCCTTTCCCGCTGAAGCTTTTTCCCCAACTCTTACTAGCTACGCGGTACGGGCTTCCTCGGGGCAGCCATTTTGGCTTTTAGTATGGCGTCTGCGGGGGCTCCTCCGGAGGCGGCCTTCCCCGGCCTCTCGGCCTTGGGGCCGAGCTGTTCTTCGTGAGAGTCCGGCGCGGGGCTGCTGTGTACTGAGTTTGCTCTTGTTTATTCTTCTTGAAATTGAAAACCCGAGGACCTGAACTGCGAAGAACAGTTTATTCCCTTTTCCTGGACCACCCCCCTTTCCCGATTAGGCTTGTCTGGTCCCCCTCCCCCGTGACTTGGTACGCGGTTGCCCTTTGACAGTCACGCTTTTTTCTTAGGCTGTTACCATGCACTATAGTTTGCGGCCGACTTGGGAAGTTTTCATTTTCCACCGTCAACTCTTGAGTTCCTACTTATCTGGGGTGCTGCTTTACTCGCTTGGATTTCCTTTAGTTCTTCCTTAGTTGCTGACTTTTCAACACTTTTAACACTGAATTTTTCTTTGTAGAATAACACCTTCACCAGACTTCCTCCCAATCCCTTTAATTTTTATACAAAGCCAAACAAGACGGTTGTGTTTGTGAAACGATTTGAGAAGATAATTAGTATTAGTTTGAAATAAGACATACTTGTTTCACAGTACCAACTCGTGAAGCAAAGTTAAATGTTCTTAGGACTCTTAATAATTGAGCCTGACTCGTTCCTCTTAATGTAAATCTTTGATAGGCTGAGATGCCTGACTTTTGGAAACTCTTACAAGTTCAGGGCTCAAGTCTTGAGTTTCAAAATTGCTGCATCTTTTTTAAAGGTTTAATTTTTAAAATATTTGTGTTTATTTTTAAATCCCTTTCCAGGTTAAATCTAACATGCATCTAAATGGTGTTGCACTTTTTCTTCATACATACTTAGGGTGTAAACATTATTCATTGTCACATATACCTATGATGAATAATTARGAAGATGTGTTGAAAGAGGAAAGGTTAGATTTATGTAGAAAGGATGTCCTCAAATAAATATGAGTCTTTTTAGTTTGATTTTGATTGACTTTACAAAGTGGGTGAGGTTAGACTTTAAAAAAAAAAAGTAAAACCACTTACATTTTGACACTTTAAATCAATTCATTGTTTTAGATTTGTGCATTGCTATACTCTTGGGCTTTAAAAAACGGGCTTTAAAAATTTTTCAAAGGGCTTAAGTAAAAATTGCCTGTGTTTTTTGTAAATTTATGTACAGTCTGCTTTGAAATACTTAGAATTCGTGTAGTTCTGTTGATATACAACTATATGGGAYGCTATGCTGCTAACTTTTTTGTGTGAGTAGCGCCATCATAGTAGTGCATCTATTTTAAAAAGTTGCATTGAGTTTTGGGTCCACTGAATAATAGTTCCGCTAGTTCCTGATACCATTTTTTTTGATCTTTGTGCTGTTGTACGTAAGTTTTGATTTTAACAGTTTTCAAGGTAGTAATTGCATTAATGTGAGGAGTTGAGAAATGTCTAAATTACTAAAATCTTTGCATTAATGAAAACTATATTGTCTGCTTTTTCTTATTTTCCCTTCCATTTCTCCTCTCCCTAACAGCATCATAAAAGTTCTTTAAGGACGATTCCTTTTACTTGCCTGCTTTCAGTTGATGTGTGTGTGTGTGTGTGTGTGTGTGTGTATTTTGTGTATGTGTGGTTCCGGGAATTGAACCCAGAGGTGCTTACCCACTGAGCCAAATCCCCATCCCATTTTATTTTTTGAGGCAGGAGCTTGCTAAATTACAAATTGCTGAGGCTGGCTTTGAACTTGCCACCCTCCTGCCTCATCCTCCTGAACCTCTGGGATTACAGGTGTGTGCCACCACACCTGGCTGATCTACTCTGATACAACCATTTTAATATTTTTTGATTGTGTTGAAGAAGTATTGATAAAGAGTTTGTAGGTTCTTAATTTTTTCCCCCAGGTATTTCCTTATTTCATACTGATTCATTGGAATAAAATGTTCATGATTGTGTTTGTGTGTTTTTTTGTGTGTGTGCTGTATTTCTTAAAATTTTTTTACTGAATTAATAGGGTTTCAGAAAGTTTGGTTGAATATTGAATTTGCTTTAAGTGCCTTCAATTATAATAAGATTGTTTGTGAGGGGCTGGGGTTGTGGCTCAGCGGTAGAGTACTAGCCTAGCATGTGTGAAGCCCTGGGTTCAATCCTCAGCATTACATAAAAATAAATAAATAAAACAAAGGTATTGTGTCCAACTACAAGTAATAAAATAAATATTTTATTTTTTTTGTGAGATGCCTATTTAAAAATTTATGTGTTGAATGTGTGTGTAAAATTTATGTGTGAAAATGTTTGTGCTGTTTAAGTGAAACATCAGTGGATTTATACTATAAACTTAAACTTACTTTACGAAAACATAGGAATAATGCACCCCCATACCATTGTTATATACTATTGTGTGTGCACTGATCATCTACACATGTAATTCTTTGTTTTGGATACAAGATCTGACTAGTTTGCCAGGAAGAAATCCTGGGCTCAAGCAATCCTCCTACCTCACCCTCCCAAGTATTTGGGACTATATGCATGTGCCACAATGCCCAACTCAACATAATTTTTTAAAATTCTTTTTAGATACATGATAGTAGAGTATATCTTGATATATATACAGTATAACTTATTCTAATTTGGATTCTATTCTTGTGGTTGTACATGATGTGCAGTCATATATTCATATACGAGTATAGGAGAGTTATGTCTGATTAATTTTGCCGTCTTTTTCTATTCCCCTCACCTCTGCCTTCCCTTCATTTCCCTTTATCTAATCCAGTGGACTTCTGTTCACTCTCCCTTGTGGGTTAGCATCCATGTATCAGAGAGAACATTTGGCCGTTGTTTTTGTTTGGGAATGGCTTATTTCACTTAGCATGGTACTCTCCAGTTCCATCCATTTACTGCAAATGCCATAATTCCATTTTTCTATATGACTGAGTAATATTCAGTTGTGTATATGTACGCATTTTATTTATCCATTCATCTGCTGAAGGGCACATAGGCTCGTTCCATAGCTTGGCTATTGTGCCTTTATAAATGTTGATGTGGCTGCATCACTGAAGTATGCTGAAGTCCTTTGGACATATGCCGAGGAGTGGGATAACTGGGTCAAATGGTGGTTCCATTCCCAGTTTTCAGAGGAATCTCCAAACTGTTTTTACAGAGTGTATGTACCAATTGCATTGTAGTCCCACTAGCAATGTATGAGTGAACCTTTTTCTCCAGATCCTTATCAACATTTACTGTTAACTTGTATTCTTTTTTTAATATTTATTTTATTAGTTGGACACAATATCTTTATTTGTTTATTTTTTATGTGGTGCTGAGGATCGAACCCAGAGCCTGGCATGTGCTAGGTGAGCGCTCTACCACTGAGCCACAACCCCAGCCCTAACTTGTATTCTTTTTTTTTTTTTTTTTTTAAAAGAGAGAGTGAGAGAGAGAGAGAGAGAGAGAGAGAGAGAGAATTTTTAATATTTATTTTTTAGTTCTCTGCAGACACAACATCTTTGTTGGTATGTGGTGCTGAGGATCAAACCCGGGCCGCACGAACGCCAGGCGAGCGCGCTACCACTTGAGCCACATCCCCAGCCCCAATAACTTGTATTCTTGATAATTGCCATTCCGACTGGAGTGAGATGGAATCTCAATGATGTTTTAATTTGCATTTCTCTAATTGCTAGAGATGTTGAACATTTTTTCATATATTTCTTGACCATTTGTATTTCTTCTGTGAAGCGCTCGTTCAGTTCCTTTGCCCATTTATTGCTTGGGTTATTTGGTTTTTTTTGGTGTTAAGTTTTTTTGTATATCCTGGATATTAATGCTCTATCTGAAGTGGCAGGTGATAAAGATTTTCTTCCATTCTGTAGGCTCTCTGTTCACATTAATGATTGTTTCCTTTGCAGTAAAGAATCTTTTTAGGGGCTGGGGATGTGGCTCAAGCGGTAGCACGCTCGCCTGGCATGCGTGCGGCCCGGGTTCGATCCTCAGCACCACATACAAACAAAGATGCTGTACCCGCCGATAACTAAATAATAAATATTTAAAAAAATTCTCTCTCTCTCTCTACCTCTCTCTGCCTCTCTCTCTCTTTAAGAAAAAAAAAAAAGAATCTTTTTAGTTTGATACCATCTCATTTATTGATTCTTGGTTTTACTTCTTTCTTGGGGAGTACCCGGTTGAACTCAGGGGCACTCAACCATGGAGCCACATTCCAGCCCTATTTTATTTAGAGACAGGGTCTCACTGAGTTGCTTAGCACCTCACTTTTGTTGAGGCTGGCTTTGAACTCTCCATCTTCCTGTCCCAGTATCTCCACATACTTGTATTAAAGGCCTGTACCACCACAGCTTGATTTTACTTCTTGCACTTTTGGAGTCTTATTGAGGAAGTTGGTTCCTACTTTGGGGCCTACTGTTTTTTTTTCCTAGTAGGCACAGAATCGCTTTGTCTAATGCCTGCATGTGTGATTCATTTTGAATTTCCAGTTTTCCTTGCACCATTTGTTAAAGAGGTGATCTTTTTTCCAATGTATGTTTATGGCACCTTTGTCTAATATAGCTGTATTTATGTGGGTTGGTTGCTATGTCTTCTATTGTTTCGTTGGTCTTCATGTCGTTTTTTTTTTGTCTGCACATATTTTTAAAGTATTCATTGAAATTGTTCCATAGTGAACATGAAAAGGTTAAGGTATACCTTATTTTGATGTAGAATCTTATATGTAATTATATTGTCCCTAGCTTTGGAAAAGATATTAAAATGAAACTTTAGAATACTGGGCAAGGTGATGCACACTTGTAATCCTAGCATCTCAGGAGGCTGAGGCAGGAGGATTGCAAATTCAAAGCCAGCCTCAGCAACTTCGCGAGACCCTGTCTCAAAAAATAAAAACAGATTGGGATGTGGCTCAGTGGTTAAATGTCCCTGGGTTCAATCCCTGGGACCAAAAAGCATAAATAAATAAGTAAACTATAAAATGAAACTTTGCTGTCTACTTCTTTTTTCTGTATAAAGAATATTGGGAAAAGTTTTGTCTTAGAAACTTGGAACAAAACCAGCAGATTATGTCTTAAAACTCTGTAATGCCTTCTTACCTTGGACTCCACAAAGGTATAAGTCAGTAAGGTTTTTGGACAGTGTTTCCCAAACTGGACCGCCAGTCACAATCACTTTGTGGAATTTTAAAATATATGTAGATATTTGTCTTATCTTCT